CCCCATTCCCCTTTAGACAGACTTAGAAGTCGAGTATTTCTCACTACTAAAACTATATACTGTTATCATTCTGTTTTGATTCCTGGCCGGCTGGAAGCCAAGGCCAGAAATCTTCTATTGTTTGCTGCTGTTGATGATCATTGCTGCATTGCTAAACTTCTTTCTGTTTCATCTGAACTAGTAAGTTGTTGAAACTTCTCTACTATGTCACTTGTTCAGTATGCTACTGTTATTGGACTCATTGCTCTATGTGTTTTAGACATGTTTTACTCAGTAGACTAATTGATAAAACCTGCTTAATTATGTGTAACTTAAGACTGTTTTTTAATATTAGGTATGTTTTGATACCTTTCCTAAAAAACTAGTTCATCATGTATACCTTAGTTTGTTGTTAAATCTATTAACATGTTATTTATCTGATTTTATGCTCACCATGCTATTAGTTCTTACTGCTAGCTAATGTGCTTCTTGACTCATTATTGATCAATGAATTGCCTTTCTATGACTTACCCTAGTTTGAATTCTGTACTGTCTTTTGTGAAAGCATGCTCATGAGTTGGTCATTATTAGTTTGTGACTTTGTTAATTTTTAAACTTGTTAAGTCTGCTTAGTTTCAAAGTGTTGGTCTCTGTTCTATGTGTGATTCTATCCCTAAGTGTACTTCCCAATCCTGTCCTGCACTCTTCTGAATCCTAATTCTTTGCTGGCTGAAAGCCATGCCTTCCTGGTGTGAGCACTGCTCAGGGTTCTTATGAGACCCTCGTGAACTCTGACACACCAGGATTTGGCCCATAGTTTTCCTTGAATTGGTTCTGATCTTTCTACTCTAGTGTGAGCACTGCCCGGGGTTCGTGAAGCCCTTGGGAACTCTGACACACTAGAGGATTGGGCTTGGTATGCTTGTCTTTGAAACAAAGGCGAATCAGTCATTGTTAGTCACTATGAACATTGGCTTTTGGAGATATCGTGGATTGAAGGACCTGGCCTATCCAGATGTATTTGGGCCTGCTTCAGGCTTTCTATAGTCTATATGCTTTGTAATTTATTCATTCGATTCTGGGCTGTAATAATTATTTGTAAATATAATTGGGGGCAATAATAAAATTAAGAAATGGGCTTATTTGACATTCTGTATGAAAAAGGGGTAGATAACATGCCTATATGTCTTTCTGCTATTATACGTCAAATAACATGCCTATAGGTCTTTCTCTTATAGTATGTTAGATAACATGCCTATAGGTCTTTCTGCTATTATATGTTAGATAACATGCCGATAGGTCTTTCTGCTATTATATGTTAGTTACATGTCTACGGGTGTTCACTATTATTGTTAGAGAACCTGCCTATAGGATTTACTTTACGCCAAGAAATATTCTGCTGAAAACTTATCTAAATGTTTGGGTTTGCCATTGCATGATTAGATACCATGCCTATAGGAAATGCAATAACCAAGTTCAACTTACAGCATACTCAAAATTGTTTCTTTAGAAATCATGTTTATAGGTTTTAATTAGTTGTCACACTCGCTTAGTTAATATGCATATCTCTAGGAATTAATAAGCAGTTCCAATCACCAAAAGTAGAATTCATGCCTATAGGGATAACAATCATTTGTGCCAAATACTAAAATTGGAACTCTGCATAGCGTCTTGCTAAATGTCACTAGAAAGCATGCCTATAGGAGTAACTAAATAATTCTGCGCATTTTTGTTGTTATCACTATCAACTGCTGAATAAGTCACCTAGATAACATGCTTATAGGTTCAAACGCTTTTAATTGTAATCAATAGGCAATTACATAGTCACTTAGAAATTGTTTCTCATAAACTGCCAGTATAATTAAAATCCAGAATCACATAGAAATCATGTTTATAGGACCTAACAACCTTTAACTGTTAAAAATTGTCGATACGCCAGTCTGTTTGCGTGCATTTGCTGCCTAATGTGTGGAGGCTAAATTGAGCCTTTATCTGATCTTTTATGAAAAGTACAACTTGTTTTGTATGTTGCCTAGTTTTACAATTTTGAGTAACCTAAGTTGAGTCTAGAATCATCCAAAATAGAGGTCCCAACGCCTCCAGGACCATAGGTAAGGGACGGGTAGTGCACGCATAGGGTACGAGTTATAATTGAACTAGTGCGCTTTAGGTAACAACTTGAAGATAGTAATCGGGTAGCAAGAGATGATAGTCTGTGCCTGCTGAATAATATGAGTAACACCCCATCTTGAGGGAGTTACAAAGTATTATTTATGTTGCATGGGGTGATCCTTTAGGATAAAAAACTTAGGACCCCCCATCCCTATTAAATAATTTTCTCGCTTCTTTATTAGACTAATTCATATAATTGAGTTCAGCCGGGACCCACAGCTGTGGACCTCGAAGAGTGCCTAACACCTTCTCTTCGAGGTAATTTCGAGCCCTTACCCGATCTTTGGTGACGCAAACTGGTTAATCAGAGTTATTTGCAAATAGGTGCCCTAACGCACCTTAATCCGTTAGGTGGCGACTCTCTCTTTTTTTAAAACCCTTCCTTAAAAGAGTTGTCAATGTCGAAACCCGATTTCGCGAGAAAAAGGGGCGCGACACTTCCTGACGAGTTTGTTCCTGGGGATGATCTCTCCCAGTGAGTGAAGCTCATTGATGATAGATGTGAAGCGAGTGTACATATCTTGAATGGATTCGTCGTCCTTCATTCTGAAAAGCTCATACTCTATGGTTAGCATGTCAATCTTGGACTGCTCTACCTGCGTTGTCCTTTCATGAGCTGTTTGGAGAGCTTCCCAGATCTCCTTAGCTGATTGGCATGCTGAAATCCTATTGTACTCATCAGGACCAATGTCACAAAAAAGAATTTTCTTTGCACGAAAATTCTTTTCTATGGCCTTTCGGTCAACGTCATTGAATTCCTTTCTTGTTTTGGGAACAGTTACCGCTGGGTCACCACTGGTTTTTGTAGGGACGAAAGGTCCATCACAGATGACATCCCAAAGCTCGGAATATTCAGCCATGATGAAGTCGTGCATCCTAGTCTTCCACCATCCATAATATTGGCCGTTGAACCTTGGTGGCCTGTAAGTAGACTGCCTTCTTCGAAGTTTGGAGGAGCAGCCATGAGGATCCTTTCTAGGTGTTAACTTGATAGAAAGAACCTACTCTGATACCAATTGATAGAATTTAAGGGTCCACCAAACTCTACAGAGAACCAGGTTCTCTATTAGTTTCCACAGAACACACGCACACTGCAGTAAGTAAATGGCACAGTGGAGTTTTATGTGGAAAAATCCCAGCTCACGGGATCAAAAACCACGACCTACCCTTGTAGGTAATTTCAACTTCATTACTGAGCAACTTTATATTACAACCTATTGTAACCTAGGAATTAACCTCTTAATCCCTCACTAACTTGTAACACTCTGTTACAAGCCACTTTGTAATAACTCTATTATAAAGACTTTAAACCTAGGAATTAACCTCTTAATCCTCACTAATTTGTAACACTCTATTACAAGCCACTTTGTAATATCTCTATTACAAAGACTTTACAACTCGACTAACTCTAGCCAAGACACAAACACAAGGGTTTATGATTTATAAAGATTTCCTACACAATGCTTCTAACTAAGCTAAGTAGGAATTACAGGTAGAGTGCTTTAACAAAGGTACAACACAACTAAGGACATGTAATAACTTCAATACATGGAACTGGTCCTTGGTTATGTTGTTCTTCGTTCTTGATGCCCTTGAGAATCACTTGCAAGATTGACACGGGCTTGAGAGAATGCTTGATGAGTTCTTGAATGTGTAAGTGATTTGTTACCTTTGCTTGATGTTAATATCTCATTTGTGACATCACTTGAATAATGTAAGCAAGTTAGGTAGAGGGCATTCCCCATAAAGTTGACTGCTGCACTGTAGCGTGTGCAGGCAGCAATTTTACAGCTGGGGCAGTTGACTTGTACATTCTCCTCGGGAACTGGTAGCTATATGTTCCCTTTGTTGTTCCTTTGACCCTGAAGAGTTGACCGTCTCTCCAATTGGAGACTTGGTGATCTTTAAGTTCTTGAGGTTGTGTATCAGATTCTTTATCTGGTTCTTATCAATAAGTTTGTTAGATCATCAAAACATAATAGGGATACACATATAACCTATCAGCAAACTTTCACATTCGGATACTTTCAACCTTCCACAAGCATATATATTTTAATTTTGTCACCAATGTTTAGACATATGAAAAAAACTTACCTAATAGTTTATCTCTGTTGAGATTTGAACGTCTTTATAATATATATTAGTTTAGGAATGGTAGAAAAAGTTTCTTTGAGTTATATTTTTATAATTAAATATATTTTTAAAAAATTGTATTTTAAACAAAAATCGTGTAACTCCCAAACATTAATGAATCATGACATGTTAATTTAGAATTCTTCGGTAGAACCACATCTCTTTACTTCCAGATGCCAATGAAAGCTTTGATAATTAATGAGTGTTTTCAAACAGAAACTTGTGGTTGAAAAAGTGCGAGGAGAATTTCAAACCGACATTTTCTTGTTACTTTCTTCACAAAATATGTGCCTTTTGTAAAATCAGCCCATCGATTTGGTAAAGTTTTAGGAAGCACTACTGTGGAACCAACTACGAAGACTAAATGAGGAAGTATCTTTATCATCATGCCCTCTCTTTTCAGAGAATTCAGGCTGTCATTAGTGCTGTCTAAAGTGAAATGCGTTGTTTCCATAAGAATATCAACTCATTGGCACAATCAAGCACATGTGACTTCCAAAAGTCTGCTAAACTAATTACTTTCAACTCGAACTATGTATACACTATGCATAAAAGTTAAAATTAAAATGCACACATTACTAAATTGTACTTATTTTTATTTTGAACCCACTGATCTAGATCTTGAATTCACCTCTACCTAGTAGATCTGGTCGGATCCTTCCTTTATATAACTTATTATATTAGTAAGCGAACACAGGGCACTATCTGCATTCGACTAGTGAAAAGCATCTCTCTTTTGTCATAATCTTTTAATATGACATTGGAAACATAACACTGTACAATGCAAAGCCTGCAGCAATACATCTAATCTACACTAACCATGAGAGTTCATAATCTGTATTATGCTATTCCTCCTGTGACTTTTTTTATATCTAAAAATCTCAATCCTATTAATGCAACACATAATATAACATCACCACCAAATTGGGTTAGACAGATAATACAATCTCTCTCTGTTAGTACTCATACCACCTTGGGTTGGATCTGCTCAAAGTCAAAAACCTCAAACATGAGGCGTCTTACATCCGGCTTCCCATATATAGCATAAGAGAGTCCATGAATAGCTTGTTGAACAGAAGTTGTAGCTGGATTTCTGAGCCTACGGTTGTGCTCGAATGCATCCTGAACCTCCTCGCTATAAATGATAAAGCGATGGAGATACTTTTCTCGCAAGTATCTCCCGCAGAATTTGTTCATCAAGATACGTCTGTGTTTCTCTTGCAACCATCTCCCAGGAGCGTCGAGATGCTTCATAAGTAACCTTTCCGCCATTACCAAATCCTGTTTCACGAGAAGGAAACCATCAACTATTGCTACCACCGAACTTGAAAGTCTATCTGGCATGAGTGTCCATTCTTGATTAACAATCGTTCTTTAACTAGATTAAACCGGTACTTTTTCCTGTCGACGGACAGAAAAGTGGCTTCTTTTTCCTGTATTGAGATCGTGACCCAAACACAAACCAGAAAATGGAACAAAAGAAAGCAATGCAACCAAAGAAATCTGACCGAAACATTACAAGTACCTAAAAGGGCAAACACCATTGTCGCTGAGCTTCAATTTTTAGAAGTTAAGCTCTTTCTACCTTTATGAATTTTACACTCTAACCAATGCTTGATTAACAATGGACGGACCGCTTTTACGAAAAAGTAAACAACTACCTACTTCAGCAATTCTAAGAAAGGATAAAATACTACTTTCCATAATTTTAGGCAGAGTGGATAGTCAGCGGTCGCCAAACTAAGATGTAACTAACATATAGCACTTTTGCAGCTAAACTGGTGAACCAATTTGGGATGCGGAGACCCACAGTGCAAGTGCTACTATCCCTAATTGTTCATTAAGACATCATGGTTTAACAATCACTGAACCATTGTATTTGATATGATCTTTGTCCACAAGAACGAGAAAATCCAGGAAATCCATATGATAAGATCAAGATTGTCAGATCCTATGCAATAAAAATATTCTTTCTTTTAATAGCTGAAACTAACTTCTTGAGAAACTACCGACAAAGGGTACAGAATATATACCTTCATGTATATATAAATCCAGAACTTCAGATGGACCAAATAAACCAACTAAATCTCAATACTATCCCTTTTTACGCAGCAATGTAATCCCATACAACAATTCTTCCTTTTTACAGACATTGCCACACTCTGTAGCTCTAGCTCTCAGAGGAGGATTTGGTTATTAACCCTAAGAGGTGCCCATAGACGGGTGAGCTCATCTTCTACAGGAGATAGAAAAAACTGCTTTATGGAGAGGTCAAGGAGGGCACTACCATCTTCCAATGAAGTTCTAAAAACCCCTTTCAACACTTCTCACAAGATCTTCTGGTTAAGTTCTACTCCAAAGTTAGAACGTAACAAAACTCCGATGCCTTAGCTTGAGTTCCCTTTTTATGTCTGAAGCAACATCCTTACCTGATTGTATTATTAGTTATTACAGCCCATTTATGGATTCTGTAAAACAATGTTTAGCCACCTGATCTTATAAAAAAAATGTTTTGCCACCTGAACTTATGGCTCATAGATCAGAATTCCATTAGTATTTAATCAAATAATAATTACAGAGAACAAGATACCACATAAATAGTTAAACATTGTCTTTGCCAGTCACTTTCTCTTGTTTTTCTTTTGAGGTATTTCCCAAAACTTTCTACAAAGAAAGATAAACTGCTTTCCTTCGATGAATTTGCTAATGACAATAATAGATATATTTAGAAATTATAAATATACTATCTATGGGCTTTTGGATAAATGAATATAAAGTTCATTGTTTAAAGTACTATCTTAATCTATTATTAACATTCTTGCTTCATATTTCTGATACTGAAAGAATGGACAACTGGAGCTGAAGTTATTGATTGGTATTTTTCAAAAAAATCCTCCAAGAATAGTGAAGCAAGTTTTGTTTTTCCTCTTTTGATTAATGAGCTGAGGTGATGACATACAAAGCAGAATTTACAGAGACACTCTCTCAGGCTGACTTAAGCATTCTGAACTAGCTTATGCGCCATAGACGAGCACAACAACAACTATGCCCCAATCACAAGCAAGTTGCGGCCGGTTATATGAATCCTCACTGACCATGCCGTTCCATTTAAGCTCATCTCAGATGCACATACCACAAAAATGTATCATACTCAGCATAATTTTATACATGCACAGGCGAATAGGAGTTCCTGAATCACAGCTAGCTTATTTTAGCCAATCGTTTGCAGCATATTAGCTTGCTAACTTTGTCCTCTTTATTATCAGAAAACTAATTCAAAAAATAGTACCTGAATTTTTTGGCCAAGGTATTCTAGCCGCTCATAGCAAAACCTCGGATGCTCAAACTTGTATTTTGATGGGTGCAAGAAAGAGAGCTGCAGTTTATATAGCAGAAAAATTCACAGAATAGGTCATTTAAGAGATTGTAAACTAGAATATACATGCTAGATTTATGGAAAGAGACATGACAGTGATATATAAACAAACACCATAGACAATGAGACTTAAATAAAAATGGAGTAAACGAATGTAAGGTCTTTTAAACAGGAGGGGAACAATAATTTAAACATGGACACAATTATGGATCTGGAAATACAGAAGAAAAGTGCCGGGTAAAGTTAACAAAAAGACTGGATTTGATAACTGACCTCCAGCAGATAGTTAAAGTTGCATGGCCATAATAATTACAGAAGGCTAAAGAGGAAACGACACCGTAAAGGCATATGCAGTTTGTACTCTACTATAACTCCTTACTTGTTAAACGTCTGCTAAGTTTAGAAATACAAAAAAAATACAAGCTTTACTAATCCATATTTCAAATAAGAACGAGAAAAATAGTGATGTGTACATGCTCCGCATAATAGAGTAAATACCTGTAAACCAAGTCCAAGTTCAATATTTCTGGCTTCAGTAATCTCAGGAATCCTATCATTCATTGCCAATGGGTATCCCAATGTCTGCATAACTTGAGGTCTGCTGGTATAATCCCATACATTACCACGGAACCTATGCATGCCTGGTGGAACACATGCCCTAAAAACCCTTGGATGTGCAAAGAGAGCATCCTCTGGAGGCTGTCAATCATAAGCACAAAAATGAATAAGCAATTTGAATTGAGATGGTCATTTTCTTTCTTCAAGTTGCAATTGTTTGCACTGATATTTTGAGGAAGCATTTTATATCAAGGTGCATAATATGCATTTATGTGGTTTGAAGTCTCTAACGAGCCAGAAGGAGACAGTACTTAAACTACTAAAGATCAAAAGGATTGGTAAAATCCATCCAATCCATCCACTTTAGTTCCTTAATTCAAATGGTAAATGAATAATTTTAATACAACAAAGAAAAAGTCTATCTGGTAAGATTAAAATAATTCTCATCCTGAAACTTCAAAGGGAATAACAGCATCTGTATAACGAGATATGTATCACGTTATACTCCGTATGTACCCCGTACACTAGCTTCTGGCATGTGATGCGATTGATACTAGAGAAGAGACAGTTCATCCTTTTCTTTCTCCCGTTATTTCCCCTGCTTTCTCTCAAGAGGAGGCTAATATTGTTGCTTGTTTCAGTCAGTAACTTTAAGTTATTAGAAATTTATCCAAAAAGAACACTATTTAGTCACTTGAGAAAGTTAGAGATTAGGGTATGAATCCATGATAATTATAAGCACCAGGACTTGTTCTGCGTCAAATATAAAGAAATTTGCTATAACAACAGCCAACATAGTGGGCAAGAAGCATTTCAGCAGTTACTCACTATGCTTAGTTAACTTATAGGAAATCACAGCAGTTACTCCATTCATTGGATTTCAGGGTTCCACTTTTAACCAACGGTAGCAAAAGCATTCTTAAGAGTACAAGTAGAGTAATATAAAAGAGAGATACTGGAAAATAGGAACTGAGGAGAAAGACGATTAACAGAAATGTGACCCTGAAAGATCGAGTGAATAACATAGAAAGCTATATAAGATAATAGGTTCAGATCTTGCCTTATAAGAAGCAACATCCTGCCAACTAAGCTTTCTCCCTTCAAATTCTACAGAGACATAGTCTACATCTTCCAACTGTCTCCTCAATTTAGGCTGGCAATCTTCAGCCTCAGGATCCATTCCACACACTTCAAATAGGACACGATAAACTTCAGGCATCCCAAAACACAAGTATATTGCTCCAAACAAAGCCCAGAACACAGATCTGCCAATATAATCATTGAATCCAAGCCAGTATGAGAAAGTTATAGTATGCTAGGCAGCTATATAACATCACTAGAACACAAAGCTTATATGGTTACAAAATTCAGGAGATAGAAGACTTTCGGAGAAACATGTGCTACCAAAGGAGACCTGTACAGGGAATATTAAAGTTTCTTTTTCTTTCCGAAAAGGCTATATGAAATATTATAGTTCAAAGTACATAGTCTGGAAATCCCAAACACTCTTATTAGAAGAGGAATTATCGCCCTTTCCTTTCGATGTCCCTCCTTGAAATATTCGGAAAACAGTTAAAGACAAACATGTCCACCCATGGTCAGTAAAAAGGGAGGGGCAGCTGCAGGAAATACATGAACCAGAATGACCTCTTAACACATATATAGCTTTATGCATCCTAACCTTTTAATAGGGACATAAGAAGCACCTACTGTAGATATTTCTACTGTAATCACTATCCAGACTAATTCAATCTACTTAACATTTTCAGTATAACTTTTCTCGACTCCTAAGTATGTCATCTTGATCAAAGTTCTCTTAACATTTTCAGTATAAGTTTTGTCGACTCCTAAGTATGTCGTCTTGATGAAAGCTCTTCTCTTCCTAACAATATCACCTTCTTTTGTGTTTCCAAAATTATTCTGATACTTCCACTCCACATACCATTATCATGAAACAAGTTCAGGCGTTGCCACATCCTAACTTAGGTCTACCGGATCATGCAATAAAGCTCATACTTTCTTTTTCTTTTTTGTCTTTTTTCTGAAAGGTGGATTAAAAGCTCATATTTTGGGAAGAAAAAACTCAGCGACCACACTGTTTAACGGTCCACCATGACATTCATTCCTGAACTAAGAAAGCCAAAAAACTCTAATATAGCAAGAGCGGCAATGCCGGCAAGGAAAGGAGTTCTGTTGACTGCTGAGAGGTGGGGAGGGCAGCGGCGGGGCGGGGCGGGGCACGTTAGTGCTGCTAAGTGTAGGGCATACACACAGGGATTACTATAAAATTATTCAAGAGCATGAAATGATGAACTAAAACTAAACGAGTACAATTATCAAGGTTCCACCAAAAAAACTGCAACTACATGAAATGATGAAATAAAAATAAACAAATCCAAATATATTTTATAGAGTTCATTAACATAGCTTTTTTCTGGCCTATGTATCCAACTGAAATAGACAGCAACTACCAAATGCAAATCAAAGAACCAAGATAGTATAACTTACTTGACAGGTGGTTCCCTATCGAGCCTCTTTAATTTATCCATATCGTCATATGGAAAAATCAAATTTTGCAAGCTAGCATTTTTAATCCACTTAGGCAGATACCTTTTCCCAATCAAAGCATACACCCGTTCCCTCATTGGACCGGGCGACTCCCTAGGATACCTTTGCAAGAAAAACTCACACAAACACAATTCAAGAACATACTGTCCTAAAAAACCCAATCTTGAATGCCCCGACCTCACGTGCCTCGCGTTAGTCCTCTCACACTTAGGATGCTGAAATGCTAAATACAACAATGTATCAAATTGTTTCGCCGGATTTTCATCCCCAAAATTTTCAGATGGCTCTAAAGGGTACCCTAAAGCCTGTTTCACCTCGAGCAAATACTCATCAATCCAAGTTTTATCAGCATTATTGAGTCTTGAACAAGGTAAACAAGAACTCAATAAAGGGAATGATTTTAATGACAATTGTGGACTATTAAGGAATCTTTCAGCTAACTTAGCATCATCTAAAGGGGGTTTAAGGATAAATCTTTTTTGGGGTACTTTTCTTTTAGGGGATACTATTTTTTTACGCTCTGCTAATTCTTTGAGGAGTCTTTGGGGACTATTTTGAGGAAGCTCTTTTGGGTCTACTGCAACTGCTAAAACATGAAATCTTGGACCAAGATTGGGACTTTTTACATGGGTTTGGAGAGAAAAATGTGAAAATGAGGATGAAAAGGAGAGATCAAATGAGTTGGGTTTGAAAGTTGAACACAACTCCATGGCCATATTTAAGAGTATAAAAGCAACTGGTGTTGATAAAAATTCTGAAGTTTTCAGTTCATTATTTGAAGGAGGTTTTTGCAGGGTTTTTGGTAGAAGATAGAAATAGAGAGGGGATAAGGTGTTGAAATATTTTTGCTTTGGCAATGTTCCGACGATAGGATGAAGGGAACTCGGCAAGTGGATATTTCTGTAAGCAGGCTTTGGTTTGGGCTGGTTTTCGAATTTGGAGTTCATTTATTGGGCCTAATCTATATTGGTTGTGGACTTCATTTGGTGTGTGTATTAAGAGGAAATGTTACCAGGTAGCCACTTTTAGGGCTGCTATTTAAAATTTATTTGAAATTTAGCCACAATATGTATCTATATCTATATTATTATAAAAGCACGAATGTTTCACAACGTTGGCGACTGCATGATTCATAGGTCTAGACGAGTAGAATGATAAAAAAATCACTTTCTTGGGTAAATCATAGTAAGAGAATGTAAGCAAGACATAGAGATCGACCTCGAATACAACTTGAAATTGTAAGGAAAAAGATTTGTTGTATTTAAAAGTATACAAAAAATTCAGAAAAAAAAAAAAAGTTGACCTAGATTTGAGAAAGAAACCAACATAGGTGCCATGCTAAGGACAAAGAGTTGTTTAAATAAGCACCTTTGATAATGTTTTTACTTCCAAGTACTTCCTTCTTTATTGAATGAATGTTGGATTGGTTTTTGTTCTGAATTACTCTTTTTATTTTTCAATTGACTGTATATAACTTTAAACTTATATATATATATATACTTTGAATCGATGCAAAAATATTAATAGGGTTTTATACATAGAGTATTGTTTTTTTCCTTTTGTCTTCTAATGTCTTTGAGTTTTGTTGATAATGTGATGTTATTTATTATTTATTACGATTGATTTTATCTTAATTTGACTGTAGTTAAATTGCTAGATGAAAACCCTAGAGGTTATAATGTGTATATGTAATTACTCAATTTATTGTAAATTGAGGTGGATTGTTTAAATGACTTACGACCATATCTTGAAAAATTGCTTCTTTTGGTTCAAAAATTTTGTTTAAATATTGAAAAACATAGTAGAAAATAAAATTTTATTTTAAAAAACAAATAATGGACTGAAGAAACTTCAAACTTATTAAAAAATTATATCTTCAAACAAACTTAACTTCAAACTTATTAAAAAAAATATATCTTCAAACAAACTTATTTCTTGTATATAATTTTCCTTAAGTTTAATTTTTGGCTCCTCTATGTAAATTATTGACTAAAAATTTACGTGTGAAGCACGTACATAGAGACTAGTCTATATTATTATAAAAACACGAATATCTTATGCTAAATATTAAGCGATAAAAATATCCCTGAAATGTTAATCGACCTTTAAGCCCTTTAAAAGCTAAATTATTTCTTTAATGAATCAAATTATTATTGGACATAATTGTAATATTAAGTATAATTCTTTTTGGACTCAACATCATCACCGCCAACATGGATGATGAAAGATTTCTAATTCTTTTTGACATCAACACGCACGGCCAATTTGAATGGTACATGATACAATCCTAATTCTTTTTATCTAAAGACTCCAAGTCAAAGTTTAAGATAAAACTTACGGAGACCTATCACATTTCTACTCGCTAAAGATCTAATTATGTCCATTCCACACACAAATTATGTAAAAAGATTATGCAAAGTCACGGACAAAGAATTTTTTTGGCTATTGAAGATGATCATATTGGTTCAACAATTCGTCAAAGCTTCTGTCACTAAAAGACTCCAATTTGTTTTGGGTTTCTATTCTTCAAAGTTGGCAACAATTTCAATTTGTAACGTGAGTTCAAATTGTAATAGTGTTAGAGAAGGTTTAAAATTTAGGGTCTTTTATATATTGCTTTTACGGGTTCAAAACTATTATCCATGTCGTCGGCAATTATTTCAAAAGCTGCCACTGCTCAAATTTATTAGAGAAGCAACGATCATCCAGGGAATGGTTATGGTGCTTAGTGCAGCTTAGAGGGAAGTTGCTTTACTTGTGGCAATGACGATTGCGATGGAGTCAGGATTTTTATTAAGTAGTATTAAAATATAGAAAATTAAATACACGAAAAATCAAGAGGATTCAATATATATAATAAATCACATAATATCCCCAGCTATTTTTATCTCTTTTTTGAAAATTCAGAAATAGTAAGCGATTCCATAAGAGATTTCTGAAGTAAGTTATTTATCTTATTATGTTATTATTAATCAAGGATTTCTTATATAGCTAGAACGATCCTCACAAATTGCGAATACTAATTTGTTAAGAATTAATCGGATTGAGGATATCGCGTCATCATTCGCTGGAATTGAAATATCTGCGAGATCGGAGTCACAATTTGTATCGGTTAAACAAATTGTTGGAATTCCTAAAGTAATACACTCTGGCAGGGCCGTATATTCTTCGTGCTGATCAACGATGATTACAATATCGGGAACCCATGTCATATATTTAATCCCGCCCAGATATGTTTGCAAGCGAGATAATTGTCTTTTCAACATAATATTATAATTTTTTGGCGAAAGGATGGCAGTTAACACTCACTGTTTGAACGTTGGCTCCGCCAAAACTATAGTTCTAAGTGAAATTTGCCGTCACATTTGGATAAAGTTTCAACATAATAATAGCATTCAAGTGATTTGAAGGGTCTTTCAAGACAGATATGTTTTATAGGAGTATTCCAACATAGATAGGTTTTAATTTATAGGATAGATATGTTTTTGGGATAACCAATTGAACTTCCAACATTGAATTAAACAATTAATATCATTAAGAAAATAACATAATCATCTAGAATTACCAACCTGTACTCAAGATTGAAAGTTTAATACAACATATAAGAAACAGGAAAAAGAATTAAGATAAAGAAAAGAAAAGAAGAGATTATTATCCTATATGTTGTATTAAAATTTATATTAAGAGGTAAGGAAGTTATTGTCATACGGAACAACCAAAGGGTTAGAAGAAAAAAATAAATACACAAAAAACATTGTCTACAAAGAGGTCTTCGGTACAATAGAATCACATACATATTTATAAATTATAAGTACATATAATAATACATCGACTTTAAAATATTATTTCTAAACTATAAGTATATATATTATTTTTTTGTTATTTTAAATTTGGTTATATTGCTAATGTAATAACATCTACTTCCATTAGTTAAATTTATTGTTCCAGCCTATAAATGCATGTCTTAATATTTTACGTGCTATTATTATCGTGCAACGCACGTTCATAGAGACTAGTTATTATAAAAGCATGAATAAAATGTTGGATTACAAAAATAACCTTTTAATATTAAGCATATAACTCACAATAAAAGGACATAATCGGAATTCTAGACATTAGCCTTGTAATCCTATTAGTTTTAGGACATAATACTACACGTTAAGAATCCTATATGATTACCTTTAGGAATCCTATTAGTATAATTGTTTTCGGGCATAGATGTTAGCCTTGTAATCCTATTACTTTTAGGATATACTTATTGAATTTTAATTAATATCCATGGAATTGAAAACAATTAGGTCGACCATCATTGGTTACCAAACGCATAATAAAATATTTTAATAATATTTTGTTAATTACAATTTTTAAATAATAGAATCTGGTACAACCATAATATAACTACTGATACCAAGTTGTACATTAAGCACTTGAATTTAATCATTATGTTCCACTTTTATATTTTTTATCTTTTGCATTTATTTAACAAGCGATTCTCTGAATAAAACGAAAAGAATGTGGAGGATTTCCATGAGCATGTCAACACCAAGCGTGCGGATGGAGAGTAACCATTGGTGATAAGGTAAACATAAAAATAAAAATAAAAATAAAAATCTATCTATCTATATCTATATTATTATAAAATACTAAATAAAATATTGGATTACAAAAATAACCTTTCAATATTAAGCATAATAACTCATAATAAAACAACATAATCGGAATTCTAGACATTAGCCTTGTAATCCTATTTGTTTTAGGACAATACTACACGTTAGGAATCCTACACGATTACCTTTACAGCTTGTTTGGATGGTTGTTACCTATCGTATCGTTACTTTAAATACAATGTTTGTTTTGATTGTTACTTAAATTTTATTGTATCGTATCGTTAAATCCGTCGTTACGTAACGATGAAATGTGCCACTTTATGTAACGACCGATTTGGTGTGGTCGCGTCGTTTCCTTGTGTTTTTCTCTCAATCTCACCCTTCATTATTATTAAATAATTTTATTTTATCATTTACCCTACCTTTTTATATACCGTATCATAATTTTTCTTTATAATATTCATCAAACGATACAGTACAATACAATACAATACGATACGATACATTATGAAACGATACGTAACAACCATCCAAACAAGCTGTTAGGATCCTATTAGTATAATTATTTTCGGGCATAGATATTAGCCTTGTAATTCTATTACTTTTAGGATATACTTTTTAAAAAATTCCTATTACTAATTTGATTTGAAAATGTATTATATTGTCCAAATTCATTTAGAAACAGGAGAGCCTATATTATTATAAAAGAACAAACATCATATTAATAAACCAAAATACCCCTAAAATATTAAATAGAAGAACTCATAGGGAAATGACATAGTTGTAATAACTTATTTTTTTGGACTACAATAACTTCTATACTATTTTTTTAATGTTTTTTAAAATTAATACAATCTTGTCTATTGAATTCTTATTAAAAATATGTAGGAAGGTTTAATAAAATCAATTTCATAAGAATTCTCCATATTGGTAATACATTACCACTTTATAATATTCAATACCAAAAAAAATAAAAGTAATGCTAAACAGACTGCATAAAGCGTTGAAATTGAGAAAAAAATCCCTACGATAATATATTATTATATTATATTTGAACTGCTTTCTTACTCAAATAAAAAAAATTTGTTAATTTTTCATGTAATATAGAAAATTATACCCAATTATTAAAGAACAACTAAGAAATTTTTTAGGAATATAAATGTGTGAGAAAAGAAAGAAAAATGTTGGTAAGAGCCAATACCACTAATGATTTTGCAAACATAAAGATTTAAAAGTGGAATTTCATCGATCTTTTT